GTGAGAGCGGCTGGATTTGAGAGGGACCTGACCTTTCAACATCTGAGTTCTTACCTCTCCTAGTGGCCTACGTCTCACCTCTTGGCACTATAAAAAGCTCCATTCTGTCACTTCATCTCCATATTGTTTCATACTATGGAACAATGCTCTTCTCCAGACTGAGGGACTGACCACCTCAAACTTTAACCCTTTGACTGTTTCAGGGCCCTCTCTGAAACTGTCATTCTATGTCGCCAAATATTCGAAAAAAAAAAAAAATTATTTTTTCTTATGAAAATGTTAGGAATATTTTTACTAGTGTTTTAAGCCTAAAAAAAATTTTTTGCCATCAGTACTTACCGAGATATAGAGCCGCAAAATTTGCAGAAATTGACGTGCGTACGGCAACAGCGGCGACTGCCGCCCACCCGGTATTCTTTTATTTACTCTAATTCAAAGGTTTCTTGCATTTTTCAATATTTTTCTTTTCCAGGTAACTTATGTGGCCTGTAAGACCAATGTAAGGTGCATTGTTCAAATATACACTCATTATTTACAACACAATAACAGAACAAACTTTATCACTATTAGTTTGTGTATACACTTTGTTTACCAAAAAAACAATACAAAACAATTTTTTTATATTTTTCCCCAAAAATATATAACATATGTACATACTAAACACTTTCCTGAACTGCTGCAGCTTGGGGAAACCCTTTTAAAAACATGGGTATTGCAGAGGGGCACTTCACCCCCCACACATAAAACGAGTGCTCTGCGTTTTGGGGCTTTTTGTGGTTGCATACTAATAAAACCCTTTCTGAGCATTTTTCTTGGCGTAGTGGGAGGCATTTTGTAGGGGGTAGTGATCACCGGGCCCTCTTCAGATGACGTCTGGGGGCGTGGTCTATTGCGATTCCCTTTTTCTTTGAAATTATTTGTCTGATTATGCGGCAAAATTCACCATTTTTTTTGTTGTTTGTTGGTCTTCAAAACTTGTATTGTTTAAGCTTTAGCTTAGAGTTCCCAACAAGATGGAAAAAAAGTTTGAAACCATTTAACTCTTGCGTACACGTTGAAAACCCCAATCTGCATGTCAATTTGTCCCAAGCGCATATTGAGGTTGTAGTCCATGACACTGCAGGCTTTAGAATGGGTTCATTGGTTTCTCTGTTGCCCCTCCCCGGGGTACCATTTCGTTTGTGTGAACTGAGTAAACAATGTGAATACGTTTGTCTGCCCCCGAAAGCCATGAGTCATTGGCGCAAAGGCTTGCCCCTCACCTCTGCGAGTGCAGCGTAAACCTTGGCATATGTTTGCGATTACCACGCACTGTGCCACACAGCTTCAAGTTCACTGCAAGAAATCAGAGAAAGGGGTTGTGCCCAGTTATCTAAAAAAATGTCCCTTACCAAAAATTTGGTTCCATCATTGTTCAAAAACCACATCACCAAGATACCCAATAACTTCAGGGTATCTCTCAAAGTTTACTCCCCGTGTACAAAATAATACTAAAAAAGACCACTTTGCAATCACAAGTACAAATAGCTTTATCCCAAAAGGGTTTCCTTTGCTTGGTAAAATTTTCTTGAAAAGGGAAATCTTTCCTTTGAATAAATAAGGGGCTCATCAATAAAAAGCTTCCTGAAGGGGTAAAAATACATGCGCACTTTTTTTAGCTACATAAACAATTTTTTCTTATATAACCTGTGTTCTGTCAGGCTGGGTTTTTTCTGAAAAAAATGTAACATACGAAAAAGTACAGGAAAAATTGGGGCCCTATAAAGTCATAAAACCTGGAGTTGAAATCAGGGACTGTTTTCCGTATGTGGTGCAGTGTGCTATACACTGTGGCTAAGCATTATTTGCAAAAAACAGGTACATCTCTGCCACAGTTGTCTCCTTCCCCTTTTGTAGCCGTGATTTTGGTGGAGAATTGATTTGGGCCCTGGTGATTCACAGATGTATTTGTTTCCCCGACAATGATTCCCTAGGGGTTTCGAAAAATAACTCAAGCAGCCAGTTCATGGCATTGTTCCCAAGTGGACAAGATGGCTTTTTCCATTTTTTGTTTCATCAAAGTTGGGATGGGAACAAACCGTCACCGTCCTGCCAATCCCGATTCGGTCTGCTGGTGGGGGTCTGGATATTGTACCGTGGTTGTGGCTGTGCAGGTTTTTTGGGGGTCAGGTTGTGGCAGTGGGGGAGGGGGAGGCTGGTTGTTCTGCTGGGCCGCGTGGCTTGCGGGCCCGGTGATGGTGCCCATGGGGGTGACCCTCACTTCACCACCCCTGCCTCCTCCCCCACTGTCACCATTCTACCCATCGTTACAATATCGTACTTCACTATCAGGTGTGGTTTGGGCCCCGGGGTGTGCTCCCCGATTTCTCTTCCCCCCTTTGGGAAAAATATGAAACACTACCCGACCCCATGCTACGTCGTAATATGGCGCTTCACTGGGAAATAAATTTCCCCTCCCTGTCACTAAAATGCTTTCAATGACCTTGAAATCACTATCATATCTTCACATCACTGCTTCATCGGGTGTTTTTACACGACCAAATTGTTTTCCCTTTTTGGTCAGGCGAACGTGAACGTGAAAAAGCCGGCCCCCAAACACCAGAGGCAAAAGGTTTGTGGGTCCTTGGGTTTTCGTTCTATTTCGTTATTTGGGCCTTTTTTCGGTAACCCACTTGAAAAACCCTTTTAATTCACTGTCACTGCATTTTCATCGCGTTAGAGCTATCCTTGGGGAAAAAAAACCCCAATCCCCCGGGATGAGGAAAAAAATTTTTGCGAAGGCATGGTGAAAAAAGGATGAAACATGGGTTCACAAAGCACCGCAGGTCCCGATTTTTTTCGGGTGCACACCGCCACGAGACCCCTTCTCTCCCGTGTAGGCCCACAGGCCTTTGGCGCTCGATTTGAAGCCGCTGAATTTGTGCGTAAAAATACTCAGGGAAAAATTGGGTCGTAAGACGTATTTATACGTCGGGAAAAATTCAAAGGGGGAAGGGGGTGGAAATGATTTACATTCTTCAGTATTTCTGCTTCCTCAAATTTTCTTTTACTTGACTGAAAAACCCACTGTGTGGCGAACGTTTCATAATAAAAACCTAACTGTTGCATATGGGTTTTTTACCCAACAACCCGTCGGTTTTTTTACCATTTTAATGTTCAATCTGTCAGACACTGCAACACAAGGTATCTTGGTACAGACCTGCAATCAACTTCGACAACTTCCACTAGTGAGAGCGGCTGGATTTGAGAGGGACCTGACCTTTCAACATCTGAGTTCTTACCTCTCCTAGTGGCCTACGTCTCACCTCTTGGCGCTAAAAAAAAGCTCCATTCTGTCACTTCATCTCCATATTGTTTCTTTACTATGGAACAATGCTCTTCTCCAGACTGAGGGACTGACCACCTCAAACTTTAAGGGTGATGGACTGATTACATCGTCTTCAAGTATCTTCTGCTTCCATCAACTTTTCTGTACTTGACTGAAGAAGCCTACTGTGTAGGCGAAACGTTTCATAATAAAGATACCTAACTGTTGCATATGTGTCTTACCTAACAACCTGTCGGTATTTTATACCATTTTAATGTTCCACTTCCCCATGGAGATAAGAGGAAATAAACAAGAAGAAGAACTAGTAAGAAAACCCAGAGGGGTGTGTGTATATACATGCTTGTACATGCAAGTGTAGTGTGACCTAAGTGTAAGTAGAAGTAAGTTTCTTCTTCTTTCTTTCAACAAACCGGCCGTATCCCACTGAGGCAGAGTGGCCCAAAAAGAAAAACAAAAGTTTCTCTTTTTCTTTCTTTCTTTCAACACACCGGCCGTATCCCACCGAGGCGGGGTGGCCCAAAAGGAAAATCGAAAGTTTCTCCTTTTATATTTAGTAATATATACAGGAGAAGGGGTTACTAGCCCCTTGCTCCCGGCATTTTAGTCGCCTCTTACAACACGCATGGCTTACGGAGGAAGAATTCTGCTCCACTTCCCCATGGAGATAAAAGGAAATAAACAAGAACAAGAACTAGAAAGAAAATAGAAGAAAACCCAGAGGAGTGTGTGTGTGTATATATGCTTGTACATGTATGTGTAGTGTGACCTAAGTGTAAGTAGAAGTAGCAAGACGTAGCTGAAATCTTGTATGTTTATGAAACAGAAAAAAGACACCAGCAATCCTACCATCAGGTAAAACAATTACAGGCTTCTGTTTTACACTCACTTGGTAGGACGATAGTACCTCCCTGGGTGGTTGCTGTCTACCAACCTACTACTAGCCAATGCTTCAACTGTCTGAGAGGAATATACACTGTTTTACTAAGATCCATAAACAATGTGTCTTGTGCCATCAGAGGATTACAGCTTACTCTCATTCCACTGCTGACTTTAATTCTGAACAAGGGAGTTAACCACACCTAGTTACAGTAGTATGAGTTACAATTACAGGTTTGACATGGGTTACCATGTAACTGATTCACTACAGATGGAATAATTTATCAATCCTGTCTGACAGGCAGGATGTTGACCCAAGTTTAGACCCGAGTCAGGATTAATAAGGTATTCCATAGTGAATTTGTTACAAAGAGCTTGTACACAGCAACTCATGTCATACCTGTAACTCATATACCGTGGCTGGGTGTGGTGAACTTCCTTGTTTAGAATTAAAGCCATTCTTGGAGTGAAAGTATGATCTAGTCTTACTTGGGTCAATCAATTTATCATATCAGAATACACTAATTAAACTAGAATCTACCCAAAGTTAGGGCCCATGATGCCAGTGGTCCCTGACACTGGCAGCTCATGCCTTTACAACTTGCCAATTAAGCTCAACTTTAAAATTTCCTTCTTTATCTTTTTAGATATTGATATAAAATAAAGTGGGTTACTGGCTCATTGCTTCTGGCATTTTAATTAACTTCTACAACACATGACTTAGGGGAAAATAATCTTAACTCACTTCTCCACATAAACACATACTAAACATTTTTACATGCAATCTCAAAATTACCTTAGTAGTAATTCCTGGACACTACGATCATCTGGGATCAGCAGACTCAAGAGTTCTGTAGCAGGGCAGAACAATTCCATATGCTCAAAAATTTGGCCTTGCATTTGAGCAACATTCATAATGTTTCTGATCATCCGGTAGAAAACCTGTATTGCCTCACATGATGTCACAGGCAACTGATCCAGCCCAGCACTGGCTGGCATTTCTAACTGTAATTCCTTAACAGTAAGTCGTCGACCCTTATTGAATGCATCTATGTAGTCATACTCATCTGTTCTGTGAAATGTAAAGAGACAATAATATTTCTGAAGCATAAATATAATCTTTACAGAAATGGTAAACTGACAATTAAAGTATGCAATATTATAGGCAAATATAATCTGATCACTAACTGAGTCTCATTTATAAAATTGAAGATTTATAGAAGGTTGATAAACAAAATTAACTAATTGCATTAAACTTTTAATATGTTAAATATGATTATGAGATTTCTGTTATTTGCAGCAAATTAAATAACCCTAAATATCATACTAAGCACAGACAACTCTTCCATAAAACCATGTAAGCATATTATAATATCTGTCTTTGTACAACCTCCCCAGAACCACAGAGGAGGCACCCCAAGGAAAACCTTCATAGGAGTCCTCTTTATCGACATATCTCGGCCCAAATCAACACACACACTTCACAGAATTGGGCAGTTACAAACCCACTGAGCCATACAAATAATCGACAAATATCCTGGAGGAGCAGAACAGAATGCAATTCCTAGTAATTCCCTTGCAGCTGCCCTGGTGCTGGGCAGATAAGGAAGCAACAGAAAAGTCATCCATGCCAAAGAGTAGAATTGTTGGCACCAGAATGAATGCTTGATGGCTGAGTCTCAAGAACTTTGCAGGGTTTCCAGACTTCCAGCTGAAGATAAGCATAGAAAATGAACATCACATATGAGCAGTGCTGAAGGAGCCCCTATACCAAGAGAAGAGAGAGCAATGAACCTTACTAGGGCTCAGAGAGTTGAGTGTGTGCGTGAATGATGCATGACATTCACAGCAAACCTATGTATTGGAGGCAACATCTTGGTCCTTCCTTGACCTTCATTAATAATGGTCCAAGATGGATCAAAACCTTTTCTAATGATTTATTTCCATAGTGGCACCTGAGATAGTCCAGGTGTGCCACTACTGCTCTCACCACAGATAATTATTATATAATACATTTTTTAACAAAATCTTATAAGCTGAACCACAGCATGGCTGCATCATATTATCTACAAATATGGCAAAAATCTATTCTTATAAACAGTGTTAGAATAAGAAATAAAAAGCTGTGCAACAAATCTATTTACGCAACGTAAAGTTTGACTTCCAACACTTACCCAGGTATTTTCCACCTGATGACAAAATGATTTGGATGGTTAACAGGCTCCAAAAGCAGGCCCAGTCTGTGACACACAGCCATATATACTATACACAGAGTAATGGGAACTCCTTTTTTTGATGTAAGTACTTCATTTATGAGAAAGTTTTTGAGGTTGTAATAGTCTTCATTGTTTCCTGATATTTTCATCTGGAAAAATAAGGAAATATAGCCCATGTTATTTATTTGTAACCAATGAAGTGTTAAATTAGATTTTGTTAGTAAGAAAAAGGCATACATTGAACAATAAATGTTATCTTACAATAAAATAATAATACTAATTACCTTGGCTAACAACAGTTTCAATGTTTAAAAATGTTTCTAACTAATTTTGGGATGTTAAATTCAAATCTAAACTTAGTTTTGCTCTTAACATGTACAGTTTGTGAAACAGAACCCCACAATTAACAGTTTCACCGAGACATAGCCATCAGTGGAAAGAGATATCAGAAAAACCTGATGAGTAGTTTGATGGCTGACTACTCCTGGACACTGGTGCAGGAAAGCGATACTGAACACAGGGGAAACAGCTTGAAAACTGTGATGTGAATATGTATGACAGCATGGAAATTTGTTACTTTTGTTATGCATATGCATTTTTGTTATGAATATACGGTGGACCCCCGCATACCGTTGGCATCACATAACGTTAAATCCGCATACCGCTACATTTTATCGCCAAGATTTTGCCTCGCATACCGCTAAAAAACCCACTCAACGCTGTTCGTCCGAGACGCGCCTCACATGTTCCGCCGGTGGCATTGTTTACCAGCCAGCCTCCGCAGTAACATCCAAGCATACAATCGGAACATTTCGTATTATTACAGTGTTTCTGGTGATTTTATCTGCAAAATAAGTGACCATGGGCCCCAAGAAAGCTTCGAGTGCCAACCCTACAGGAATAAGGGTGAGAATTACTATAGAGATGAAGAAAGAGATCATTGATAAGTATGAAAGTGGAGTGCGTGTCTGCGAGCTGGCCAGGTTGTATAGTAAACCCCAATCAACCATCGCTACTATTGTGGGCAACAAAAAGGCAATCAAGGAAGCTGTTCTTGCCAAAGGTTTAACTGTGTTTTCGAAACAGAGATCGCAAGTGATGGAAGATGTTGAGAGACTGTTATTGGTGTGGATAAATGAGAAACAGATAGCAGGAGATAGCATCTCTCAAGTGATCATAAGTGAAAAGGCTAGGAAGTTGCATGAGGATTTAATTAAAAAAATGCCTGCAACTAGTGATGATGTGAGTGAATTTAAGGCCAGCAAAGGTTGGTTTGAGAGATTTAAGAGGCGTAGTGGCATACATAGTGTGATAAGGCATGGTGAGGCTGCCAGTTCGGACCAAAAAGCAGCTGAAAAATATGTGCAGGAATTCAAGGAGTACATAGAAACTGAAGGACTGAAACCTGAACAAGTGTTTAATTGTGATGAAACAGGCCTGTTTTGGAAGAAAATGCCAAGCAGGACCTACATTACTCAGGAGGAAAAGGCACTCCCAGGACATAAGCCTATGAAAGACAGCTTACTCTGTTGATGTGTTCCAATGCTACTGGTGATTGCAAGTGAAGCCTTTATTAGTGTAATCACTCTGAAACTCACAGACCGTTCAGGCAAAAGAATGTCCTCAAGGAGAATTTGTGTGTGCTGGGGAGGGCAAACAGTAAGGCATGGGTCACTAGGGACTTTTTCTATGACTGGTTACACCATGCATTTGCCCCAATGTGAAAGATTACCTAACTGAAAAGAAATTAGAACTTAAGTGCCTCCTGGTGTTTAGACAATGCCCCTGGTCATCCTACAGACATGGCAGAGCGACTTTATGGGGACATGAAATTCATTAAGGTGAAGTTTTTGCCTCCTAATACCACTCCTCTCCTGCAGCCCATGGACCAGCAGGTTATTGCAAACTTCAAAAAACTGTACACAAAAGCTCTGTTTGAAAGGTGCTTTGTAGTGACCTCAGAAACTCAACTGACTCTAAGAGACTTTTGAGAGAGATCACTTTAATATCCTCAATTGTGTAAACCTTATAGGTAAGGCATGGGAGGGAGTGACTAAGAGGACCTTGAACTCTGCTTGGAAGAAACTGTGGCCAAATGTGTAGACCAAAGGGATTTTGAAGGGTTTCAGGCTAACCCTGAGAATCCTATGCCAGTTGAGGAATCCATTATGGCATTGGGAAAGTCCTTGGGTTGGAGGTTAGTGGGATGATGTGGAAGAGTTGGTGGAGGAGGACAATGAAGAACTAACCCACTGATGAGCTGATAGATCAACTTCAACAGCAAGAGGCCAGACCTGAGGAAACTGGTTCGAAGGAGGGGAGAGAGAAATTGAAGAAATTGCCTACTACAAAGATTAAGGAAATCTGTGCAAAGTGGCTTGAAGTGCAAACCTTCATGGATGAAAATCACCCTCACACAGCTATTGCAAGCCGTGCTGGTGACTATTACACTGACAATGTTGTGAAACACTTTAGGGAAGTCATAAAGGAACGAGAGGTACAGGCCACTATGGACAGATATGTTGTGCGACGGAACTCCAGTGGCTCTGAAGCTGGTCCTAGTGGCATTAAAAGAAGAAGGGAAGTAACCCCAGAAAAGGACTTGACACCTCAAGTCTTAATGGAAGGGGATTCCCCTTCTAAACATTTAGACTCCTCCTCCCATCCCATCAATCATCACCAGATCTTCAATAAAAGTAAGTGTCATGTAATTGTGCATGCCTTTTTCAGTTTGTGTGTATTAAAATTAATATTTCATGTGGTAAAAATTTTTTTTTTTTCATACTTTGGGGTGTCTTGCACGGATTAATTTGATTTCCATTATTTCTTATGGGGAAAATTCATTCGCATAACGATTATTTCGCATAACAATGAGCTCTCTTGCACGGATTAATATCGCTATGCGGGGGTCCACTGTATATACTGTTGGTGCCAGATAGGGTGGTTTCAGTATCTCAGAAACTGCTGATCTGGGATTTTCATGTACAACAGTCTCTTAGTTTACAGAGAATGGTGTGATAAACACAAAACATCCAGTGAGTGGCAGTTCTGTGAGCAAGAATGTCTTGTTAACCTATTCACTGTCCAGACCCGAGATTAACCTTTTCACTGTACGTCATTTAGAACTACAGTGGACCCTCGGTTATCGGCCGTAATCCGTTCCAGAAGGTCAGCCGATAACCAAAATGGCCAAAAACCAAATTAATATTTCCCATAAGAATTAATGGAAATACATTTAGTCCGTTCCAGACAAAAATACTCACTTTTTTTTTTTTTTTTAACAATTATGTAAGTATTACATACCTTTATTGAAGGCTAATGCTGGCTTCTGGAAGATAGGGAAGAGGAAAGAGGGAGGAGTTAGTGTTTGGAAGGGGAATCCCCCTCCACAAAGACTTTAGGCAGCAAAGCCTTCTCTGGGGTTACTTCCCTTCTTTGTCTTTTAATGGCACTAGGACCAGCTTGAGAGTCACTGGACCCCTGTCTCACAACAAATCTGTCCACAGAGGTCTGTTTTTGGTATCTCTTTAAGATTTCCCTGAAATGGGACAAGGTTTTGTCACTGAACATGTTGCAGATATGGCTTGTTTCAGCTTTGTCAGGGTGGTGTTTCTCTACAAAAGCTTGCACCCTAGTCCACATTGCACACACCTCTTTAATCTGTCATTTACTGCTACAGTATATTCATTACCTACCTTAAAATATTTGTGGTCTTAATGTAGGGCAAGAGGTGAGTAGTATTTATTTGTAGGAAGTCAGTGTAGTTAGCAGTAGATGTAGGTACAGTACACATACTTAGCCCCCCCCCCCCCATCCCGGGCTACACTACACAGCTATATTATTACACTACACAGCCATATTATTACACTACACAGCCATATTATTACCATATTCACTGAGTTTAATTATTTCTAACAACTACCTTTAGATGCCATCATAAACAAAGGGAGAAGTAATGAATAATTCATGCGGAGAATTGTAAACAAACGTATATGAAGGGCGGTTACTGCACCAGTCGCCAGATTCAGTTTTCTCTAACGCTGCATCAGAGAAAACCGTAATGTTTACTCTCCATCCCACTCTCCACTCGATAACATATAAATACTGCATGTTTATATGCTACATGATATGTAATGTGTTTCTTATATAATTTTGAAGAAAATATCATAGATGGATTAATACAAATGTCTATATTAACGTAAAATAAGACATTTAATGTGGAAAAGAGTGATTATTAAATATACATGGCATATAATAAACATAGCATGTTTATAGGCTATTTAACGTGTTTCTTATATAATTTTGAATAGGATATAATACATGGATTAATGAAAATGTCTATATTAATGTAAAATAAGACATTTAATGTGGCACAGGATGATTATTAAATATACATCGCATATAATAAACACTGCATGTTTATATGCTATGTAACGTGTTTCTTATATAATTTTGAAGAAGATATAATAGATGGATTAACCCTTAAACAGTCCAAACGTATATATACGTTCTCTCATGTAGCACCCCAAACGTATATATACGTTTTATTTTTCATTCATTCAAAATTGGCGCCATAGGCCTGAGTCGCCTAGACATGAGAGAATGGGTGTGCGCACTCAGTGTGCATGGTATACAAAAAATCTGGGATGCCTGGGTACCACATGGTAGGACCAGTTACATTCAGCTCCATCTTGGGTCAACATCATGGCACATCCTCGTGATTCACTCACGAGGATGTATTAACACTCTACTATTCGAGGAAAGCGATATAAATCGTGAGTTTAGTGGATTTGACACCAATGGGGCCAGTAATATTCAAGGAATTTGTGAAAATGTCGATGATAACCCAGATGACCCTCAGCCCATCACCTCTGGGATAGCGACACTTGTCCTAGGGCCAAGCACCTCTGGGGTAGCCAGTGTGGCCACAGCAGACCCTAGGCCAAGCACTTCTGGGGTGGCCAGTGTGGCCACACAAGACCCTGGGCCAAGCACCTCTAGAGTGGCAAGTGTTACCCATAGGCAACTTCGCAAGAGGAAACTATAATTTTCCCGGTGATTTAGTGACAGTGAAAGTGATGTAAGTGATGATGAGATAGATATGCCATTCGAGGATTCGTCTAGTGATAGCGAAGTTCATTATTCACCA